CATTACTCTATGCGACTGGTTTCGTGCCGTTCAACTCTACCGTATGGGTTCGGGAGTGTCCGACCAACAAATGGAAACCGCTTGGCGCGAAATTGGCAACCATTTTGCAAGTTTACGTTCTTGGTAAGAACAAGATTTCACCAAATTTTGGAAAGTGTGTATTCGAAAACAAACTAAAATATTAATATCTTTACTCGAACTGTTCCCAGGGAGAGCGCAAGGAATACTATGAAAATCACATCACTTAGACGGCTTATGGATGCGCTTTACCATCTTGAGAGATTGATGAGTTGGAACAATGCATTGATAAATTGCCTGAAAAAAGTCCATTATTAGCAAAAATAGCCGAAATGTTGGCTTCAGTTGGTAAGTAACATTGATAGACCCTACTATAAAATGAAGTAATTAAAATTCACTCACTGGCAGGAATGTGTACAGAGGCAGTCAAGGCGTACTTAAAATGGGCGATCCTAAATCTGCAGTAAATGCTTGCGTTAATCTGCGACAATGGGAGAGGCGGTGCAGCTTGCTCGTAAATTTGATATGCCACAAATTGGAGATTTGTTAAGCAAGCATGCGGCACAGCTCATCAAGAAGATCGTCTACCAGAAGCAATTGAACTACAAAGAAAGCGGATTTTATTTGGAAGCGCGCGTCGTTGCTGGGTAAACTGGCACAACGGGAAGCGAAAGGATTCCAGCATGCTACGCATTAAAAAGCTCTATATTTAGCTTCATTATTATCCGAGGAACATCTGAAATCATTGAGTACAGTAGAATTGAGTTACAAAGTGGATAGAAATTCGATATTGGATACGATGAGTCCAGAAGACGCACACGTCGTTGAACATATGTGGCATGCAGCGGAAGCTTATCATTTTATGTAAGCATAAGTACAAGTACGATTGTGGATATTTTATTTTATTAAATTGACCAATTTTTCCAGGATGTTGGCACAGCGTCAGTTACGATTTGGTATTACACGCAATGCTGTCGCTACTGCATTGCGCTTGTGCGATTACGATGATATTTTGCCAGCAGAAGATGTATATAATATACTCGCGCTTTCCTGTTGTGCAGATCGATCATTTGGTAAGTACTCAATATTTGGTATTAAAATTAATATATTGAAACAAAAATTGACATTAGGTACATGCGTCAAGGCTTTTACAAAGCTAGAAGGAAGTTTGGAGAGTATACCGGAGTGTAGAGTTCAGGAATATAAGGCTCGCTGAAAGTTTTTTTCAAAGTATACCTCTGAAGATACCAAAAGAGAAATGGTTAAATGTTACGCATGCAACTCGCCGTTACTCGAAAGGTTAACTTCGATTCTGCAGTTTACGATATATTTATATATTATATATATATATATGTGTACTAAAATAAATTATTCTTTCCTAGTCTGCCAGCCTGTAGCATTGTTGGTGCTCGCTTTCCAGCATGTGTATCATCAGGCAAACCCATCACTCAACCCACCAGTAATATTTGGATTTGTGGCATTTGTCATCATTGTGCCACCCCAGTTGAAATCTCACGACATCATACCTGCCCTCTTTGTCACAGTTTGATAATTTCAATGACGGTTGAAATTTAATTTAAAGTTCAAAGCATTATTTCACTTAAATTATTTAAATAAAGCGCATTTATATTACTAATTGCTCAAGAAATTAGTACTTCTAAAAAGAAATAGGCAAGCTATCGAAGGGAATAATCTCTATCTATTCATTTCGGCGGGCGACTGCGACTGAGTTAGCCAAAGTGAAGTAATAGAGGGAGTGCACAATAGACCGATGATCAAGTGCATCTATAATTGTATAAAATCTAAAATATTATACAAATTTATTGTATACGATTCACACGCAAGGCAAAACCAAAAATATTTGCATTAAATCTAAGAAAATATAGCGATTACAGCACAATAAATGGCTGGTGGTTAAACTCACCCTAGCTAAGTATATTTGTGAAATGATTGTTGTGCCGCATGTATCGCATGTAACCGCTTTTTGATCTTTGGTATGTAATCTCCGTATATGTCGTCGAAGATTATCTTCATCCTTGAGCCAACGGTCACAACCATCCAATGTGCATTTTACCTTCGGACCACCATCATCGAAATGCGACCGCACATGCTTTTCAAATGACGCTTTATCACGTATCTCTTTAGCGCACACATGACAGACATTGGTTGGTCGACGGTGCCGCATACATACGTGAATTTTCAAAAGATCATTAGTGGCGAAGCGACTTTTAGGACATAGGTCGCAAACGAATATCCGCTCGTTTTGGGGTACATGCGAATTTTTATGAAGTTCAAGTTTCTTTTGGCAAGGAAATCTTTTGGACATTGATCACAATTGTAATTTAGTTCCTCCTCTGGTGCATGAGCAGTTATCTATGACGGGAGAGTGTTGACTGTTCCGCAAAGTTTTTTACAGTCTTTACACCTTTAACGAAATTAGAATTATAAATTATGATATGCACCTATATATATGTAACATACTTAAAAATTCAGGATTTTCGTGTTTATACGCATGACGTATGATCTCAAGAGGGTGAAATAATTTTTTATTGCAACATCTTACGTATGCTTTGATTTTTGGATGCTGTTTTCGGAAGTGTTTTCTAACAGATGAATGGTCTTCGCTGATAAATGTGCATAACTCGCAGATCATGGGAATGTATTTCTTAACCATTTCTTTGTCTTCCGAACTTGATTTAATACTTGATCGGCGTTTCCCCTTTTCGAACAATCATTTGGTTTGTAGATTTATCTCTTTCATTTTTACGCTTTATTTTTTAGAGCCCAATAATTGCCGTGTAACGTATTTCTGCTTTTTCGGATTTCTGAATTTGTGATTTTATGCCTTTAAGAACGCAAACAATATGAAAGATTTAATAAGTGCTCGTATATACATATATACGCCTTCTATTACCTGCAATTTGGGCAAATTGTTACATCATTCTTTAATTCAAGTTTCTCCAAAATGTTATTTTTATTTTATGGCAGTTTAGTTCACTAAAGGATTCAGCAGGTCCGCCTCAGTATTGTTGTTTCGTTACTAATCGAAGATGGCATTTCTAGTTCGCAAAGTTGGTTTATCATCTCACTTGAGATGTCTGTTGACTTTTTAGCCTTCGGATTTGTCTTTTCATCGGGTTCTTCTTTAATATTTAGATCAGGATCAATAAATTCAATGTCCATTAATTCACTTAGGGGCTCCTTTTTTATACTATTATCATTACTCTATGCGACTGGTTTCGTGCCGTTCAACTCTACCGTATGGGTTCGGGAGTGTCCGACCAACAAATGGAAACCGCTTGGCGCGAAATTGGCAACCATTTTGCAAGTTTACGTTCTTGGTAAGAACAAGATTTCACCAAATTTTGGAAAGTGTGTACTTCGAAAACAAACTAAAATATTAATATCTTTACTCGAACTGTTCCCAGGGAGAGCGCAAAGGAATACTATGAAAATCACTCACTTGAGGGCTTAATGGATGCGCTTTACCATCTTGAGAGATTTGATGAGTTGGAACAATGCATTGATAAATTGCCTGAAAAAAGTCCATTATTAGCAAAAATAGCCGAAATGTTGGCTTCAGTTGGTAAGTAACATTGATAGACCATACTATAAAAATGAAGTAATTAAAATTCACTCACTGGCAGGAATGTGTACAGAGGCAGTCAAGGCGTACTTAAAAATGGGCGATCCTAAATCTGCAGTAAATGCTTGCGTTAATCTGCGACAATGGGAGAGGCGGTGCAGCTTGCTCGAAATTTGATATGCCACAAATTGGAGATTTGTTAAGCAAGCATGCGGCACAGCTCATCAAAGAAGATCGTCTACCAGAAGCAATTGAACTACAAAAGAAAGCTGGATTTTATTTGGAAGCCGCGCGTTTGCTGGGTAAACTGGCACAACGGGAAGCCGAAAAGGATTCCAGCATGCTACGCATTAAAAAGCTCTATATTTTAGCTTCATTATTATCCGAGGAACATCTGAAATCATTGAGTACAGTAGAATTGAGTTACAAAGTGGATAGAAATTCGAATTGGATACGATGAGTCCAGAAGACGCACACGTCGTTGAACATATGTGGATGCAGCGGAAGCTTATCATTTTATGTAAGCATAAGTACAAGTACGATTGTGGATATTTTATTTTATTAAATTGACCATTTTGTCCAGGATGTTGGCACAGCGTCAGTTACGATTTGGTATTACACGCAATGCTGTCGCTACTGCATTGCGCTTGTGCGATTACGATGATATTTTGCCAGCAGAAGATGTATATAATATACTCGCGCTTTCCTGTTGTGCAGATCGATCATTTGGTAAGTACTCAATATTTTGGTATTAAATTAATATATTGAAACAAAAATTGACATTAGGTACATGCGTCAAGGCTTTTACAAAGCTAGAAGGAAGTTTGGAGAGTATACCGCGAGTGTAGTTCAGGAATATAAAAGGCTCGCTGAAAGTATTTTTTCAAAGTACCTCTGAAGATACAAAAGAGAAATGGTTAAATGTTACGCATGCAACGCCCCGTTACTCGAAAGGTTAACTTCGATTCTGCAGTTTACGATATATTATATATATATATATATATATGTGTACTAAAATAAATTATTCTTTCCTAGTCTGCCAGCCTGTAGCATTTGTGGTGCTCGCTTTCCAGCATGTGTATCATCAGGCAAACCCATCACTCAACCCACCAGTAATATTTGGATTTGTGGCATTTGTCATCATTGTGCCACCCCAGTTGAAATCTCACGACATCATACCTGCCCTCTTTGTCACAGTTTGATAATTTCAATGACGGTTGAAATTTAATTTAAAGTTCAAAGCATATTTCACTTAAATTATTAAATAAAGCGCATTTATATTACTAATTGCTCAAGAAATTAGTACTTCTAAAAGAAATAGGCAAGCTATCGAAGGGAAGTATCTCTATCTATTCATCGGCCGGCGACTGCGACTGAGTTAGCCAAAGTGAAGTAATAGAGGGAGTGCACAATAGAACCGATGATCAAAGTGCATCTATAATGTAAAAATCTAATATATATACAAATTATTGTATACGATTCACAAGCAAGGCAAAACCAAAAATATTTGCATTAAATCTAAGAAAATATAGCGATTACAGCACAATAAATGGCTGGTGGTTAAACTCACCTAGCTAGTATATTTGGATGAAAGATTGTTCTGCTGCCGCATGTATCGCATGATAAATCTCTCTCCTCCATACGGTAGAGTTGAACGGCACGAAACCAGTCGCATAGAGTAATGCGTAGATTAATTGCCAAATCTCTGTTTACAAAAAAAAAAAAGTATATTCATATATGTTTTAACCAAATATCAATGATTATAGTTCCGTTCTTTTAATTACGTACTTACCTTCTATCAGCATCCATATATAATTTTTCTGCTTCCTCGTACTCGCCATAGAAAGCGGCCACTTCGGCTTTTTGTAGCATGGGCGTTGATATGTTTCGCATACGTTTTATTAATTGAATTCCCTGATAATTAGCACAACGTACAAATGCATTTTCAGCAATGCCTAATTCGAGTTTCTTTAATGCTGCCTCGGCCAACAAGCGCCATAAGCGCGGATGTGGATTATCTTCAATGAACTGCTTCGCATCTTCTAAGCCCACATGATGCAATAAATCATCGGTGTCACGCAGCGACTTAACTCGCAACTGTATAATATGATTAACAGAATTTTGAGACTCATCACCACTAATTATGTCATCAAGTAGAACACTAGTGATCTCCAAATCTTCAAAAGCACATATATAACCGGAACAAGAAATAGGTTCTTCGGGATCATTGCCACGAAATACATACATGCGCGTCTTTTCCATTAATGCGAGTAATAAAGGATTATCCTTGGCCCAACAAACGGCCCAAACATCCTTGCGTTCAACTCGATTAAAATTCAACTGTGATTGACGATCATCATCCAAATCAAGCAAAGTCATAACACCAACATCATCTATAACGGCTGCGCGGCTAGAAAAGGGATTTTACCAGATTAAATTGTATTTAATACAATTAATAAGTGAGAAGAATTTCACATACCTGGAATTACAATTAATTGACATTTTATAAGGTCTTGCATTAATCTTAAGACGATTTCGAAGCGCTACGTTCGGCACACTGTACTCATTTATAGTGCCCGAGGAACGTGCCACCAACAATATCTTCTCGGACATGGCAAGTGCACATATGGGATCTATGTTAACATGTTGCTTGTAGGCCTTTTTATCATAACTTGCGCCTCCTGTAGCAATTACTAAGTCTTTGGCCATTTCGACGCCAGTTGGCGTATCGTCTATATGAAATCGATTCTCTTTACGCCCCTTCGCTCCATGCAAATTCGCTGCGCTCTTAAGATATAAATCAATAAAATTATATACATACCCGTTTAAATTACAAAGTGGGACCTTACTTTGGGAGTGTTGTAGTGCCAAATGAGTACTTCATCGAAAGAGGCTATTGCTACATGTCCAGAATTAATGGCAATAAAATTTGGTTTCATATCAGTGTATTTCGCTGCCAAAATGAGATCGAAATAAATAACCTTAGTTGTGTGATACGTGGAATTGGATTGGAATTAGATTTGAACTACTATCTTGCACCTTTCTGTATCGGTCATCAAATATCATTCAAATGTAGACTCTCTTCAAAAACCCCCAAATTTTTGACTAACAGACAGTGATTATCATACAAAATTCGAAGAACTGTCCGTATAGTAACAGTGTTTTCAAGAAATTAGAGACTTGACTTTGACACAGCTTGTATTTTGTTGGATTTTTATACAACTCAAACCAGAAGTTTTAAGGATTACAAACACTGAATTTTCGGCGTGATTTGTCGACTCGTTACCGCTAATACTAGTTTTATTCTTGCTCAGTTTGAATATTGGAGTAGCATATCCTTTATAGTACTCGAATTAGACATTGGGCTTTAAAATATCCTATTGCGTATAACCATAACTCTTGCTATGAACGGAGATAAAATACTTGACATTTTTTAGGCATATCTTTGTCGAGACTATAGCGGATATTCAGAATATATTGTTGGACGTGGACAGGCTGGTATCACAAATACTTTCTTCATATCCCAGGGATGTTTTTGTTTTTTGCTAGGCAAGTTTACTTTCTACAGGATAAAGACTTATTTCGATATCTTCTGCAGATATCTGAAATTTTAGAACTTTCCCATGCGATGTAAATTGGCTTTAATAAGACAATTTAAAAGTAGGTAACGTTGAAAATTTTTATGAAATTTTTTTTTGGGTCAGAAATATCCTTTTATAAAACGCTGTCTTTATCTAGCCTCAAGAGAAATTTTATGTTTGTGATTTTACCGTTGTGAGGATATAAGTTATGTACTTACAATCCACAGTAGTTCCAATAGAATTGCACAACATTAACTGATAGCATTTATCGTCATTCTGAATTGGATTTGTAGCATCAGTTACAATATTTTCCTTCATATTACTATTTAAGCATTCTACAGCTAAGACACAATGATCGTTGCAAGCAGCCATCCCCAATGCCGGTTCGACTTCCTTTAGGAAACTCTGAAAATGTTTATAATATATTATTTTGCACTATACTATAAGTATTATACACATTGACTTTAGTTATGTATACGACACCTGATTAGAAACTGTATTCCAGAAAGTGATAACATTTGTCGTTGAATTTCGGGTATGATTAGTACTGTTTTTATTCAGAAAAACAACAGTTTTTTCAAAATAACACCACATATAATCGGGACGTATATTTGCAAAATATATGAAAGAATCGACAGCCATTGCAATGCGTAGCGATTTTCCTTCCCATGAAAGTGAAGAGATCTCATTCCCTGGAACCTTCAAAGTACGTATCAAATGTCCGAATGGCGAGTAAAAATTTACTTGATTCGATTCCTTCGAAGTATTGTAATCTATAAGCATTCCACAAACAGAAAGTACAGATCCGTCTTGATTCCACTCAGCAGCAATATTTCGCATACCAGTATCGATGATAACTGGGGCTAAATGATTTAATACAAATAAACATACATATATATTTCAAATTTTGATTGTTTATGGAAAATTACACACCGTCATCGCTTTCATTTCGCATAATTTGCAATTTGCACGTCTCAAAACAAATAGCCAGAACTGGTCGGTTAGATGGTGCCCGCCCACTGTACCAACAAAGTGCCGAGATTTTAAAGTTTCTATTTGGACTAAGCGAGACGCACTGTATATTTAGCTTCATCTGTTTTCGGTATAAAATGTATAGATTTGTAAACGCATAATTGATGTTTGTACTATTAAGGGGTATGGGCACTATAGCGGATATATAATAATGTGCATATTCATTATTTTTTTTAGTGATATAATCATTATATTCGCAGAACTACTGAAACACTTATCAAGTTTGAACCTCAAGCTGATGAAAAATGTTTTTTCAGTTAAATTTGATGATTTACCCATTAAAATACGTAGATAAATTTGAAAATATTAATTTCATCAAAAATTATAATCATTTGAACAGAAAAATTTAATTTATAGTTAATAATTTCGAAATCAACTGGTCATAAATAAAATTTTAAATCAATCGAAATTTCCACACGTACTTCTATGCAAAATCCAAAATTTAAAGATGATCGGATAAAAATTGTTCCAAGTTATTTGCCTCGTCAATTGGAAAAAAGGTTTCAGAAAAGCGCGTTTAAATTTTCAGAGGTGGAATAGGAGAAGGAAGAGGTGGGCTTACTATACACGCTTAAAGTCGTTTGAAAAATTGTTCATCGCTACAAATCAACTTGAAACTTAATTTTATGACTATAAAGCATAGTTTAAGCAAAAAACACAAAACACGATTTTGTGAAAATTCTACAGTGGCCATACTCCTAAATAACTACTGACCGCAAAATTTCCTTGGTTGTCATAAAGATGGCATTCACCATTAGCTAACCCAAATAATATCAAGCGATTGTCTGGACTCCATTGTACACTAGTTAAATGTGTATTCCTTAGCTCCTTCCCCCAAATACGATTTCCATCCACTGAGCCTTAAATTATGTAGCATATATCAGTATTTAGGTGTGAAAACTGGAGAAATTAGAGAACGTGAGTGTGTGAATATAATTTAGGTCTTCACGTTGTAAATGTATGTATGAGGCTTTGTTATGTATATTAAAAACATTTACAACGCATCAACAGTTTATACACTAACCAAATGGGTTTGTATTATTCAATTTCGTAACCATGAATGACCAAGAAAATGTTCACGCATTCAGGCACTCCAATAAATTGACATACCTACAATAATGGCCCCATCCTCGTACACTATGCATATTTTAGCTCCATCTGATGTCCAACACATGCTATTAACGGTCGATTTTTTTCGATCATTAGTCATCTCTTCGTACCAAGAACCTTTATAGATCATCCAAACCATAATGACGCCATTCAAATCCGAAGAAGTCAATTTCTGCTGGCTTTCGTTCCAAGTGACCACTTTAACACCTTCCTTATGCCCGTCCAGAGTTTGATTCATAGACAAATTTGATACAGCAGCTAGATTACCCTTATTGGGACCGCTAGACGCTGAATAAATGGAGACGGTAATAAATGAGATTGAGAATACTATAGTACTACCTTGCTCTAGCTTCAGAACCTTTAATAGACCCTCAGAACCAGCGACTGCTATATACCCGTGCTCTTTATTCCAAGCTATGCAATTTAATTTTACATTGTTCGGTATAGCAATCTAGATGTAATATATATTTTTTTATTTGTGTGAACATCATATGTATATATTAAAAAATACAAACCTTCTTACTTAAATAGACAAACATGTTGCTCAATATTAGTTTCGATTGCTTTCTTTAGATTCAATTGAAGTTAATTATTTCAATATCTCAAACATATAATAAAACTCGTTCCCATGGCGAGTACAAATGTTTATTTTATATTTGTTGTGTTTATCAAGTGTTGTTTTTACCACCTGTTTATGTTTTATTATGTTCACCATTCTGTTCTTTCCTTATTTAGTATATCATTTCTGTATTGAATGGAATGAATAATAACTAAACAAATGAATAATTACGAATTAATAATATATTTTATAATAATAAGTTGTCAAAATTTTAACTACCTTTGGAGTTGGGAAAAGTTCTGACATTCGGATTTACTACGAAAACCGGTCAATTTTCACTTGCAACTGTCAGAATTCTCATTTTTCTACCGTTTGGCATAATAATTTGTATGCAACGGTTCCTATATATTCGTTTCTTCGTGAATTCACCACGAAAAATGTCAGAATTTGCCTTTTAGCTGTCAGAATTTTCTACCATTTGGCACACGGCCTTTATTATATATTGTCATGTTTAATTTTAAATGCCAATATTCAATAAAATATTTAAAATAATATGTAAGCTAATTATAAATATCTGGCAGCACTAATATATCTTGAACAGCTGATATATAAAAGTTTATTAACAATTGTACAGAGAATATTTTCATACTCTGTGCACCTCGTTTGACCTCGTTGGACAAAAAATACTATCAGTTAGCGCTTAAAGCAGCAAACAACTACATTATCATTAAATATATCATCAGGATGACAGAACATGCTAGTAATCCATATGATATGGATAGCTCGGCATTTGATTCTGAAAAATATTTGGAAAAGTTATTAAAGGTAAAGCCATACACCCTTATTTCTTAAAAGTGTTGGTAAATTTTTGTTGTGATCCGCAGGATTGTACTTTAAAGCAAATCATGGACACTGAAACTGCTGTCATAAAGGACACTCAAACGCTACATTCCGATATGCAGACACTCGTCTATGAAAACTATAATAAATTCATATCGGCAACAGATACTATACGAAAAATGAAAAACGATTTCAAGGAAATGGAATCAGATATGAATTTGCTGCGCAATAAAATGAATTCCATAACATCGTTTAGTGAACAAATTACGGATACATTGCAGGGGACTCGTTCCCAACTGTGTCGTCTGGCTGAAAAACACTCGCTACTTAAACGTTTACAATTTTTATCCTCTTTGCCAGCGAAGTTGAAGGGTCTAATAGAAGAACAGAATTACACTCAAGCTGTGCAAGACTATTTACATGCACAAATGGTGTTTGCTCAATATGGTCGACAACCCTCGTTCGATGGTATTCAGAGAGATTGCGTATCAATATTGCTCGACTTGAAAGGACGTTTAAGGATTGATTTTCAAAAGGCGAGTAATTCAGCTCAATCATTAAGTGAAATTGGAGAATTATTATTGCAGTTAGATGAAAAACCTACAGATTTGGCTAATGAAATGCTAACTTGTGCTGCAAAACGTTTGCACGAACAAATAGTACTACTACAGGTATTTGTAATATAATTGGTAAATGTAAATTTAGGTCCCCCAACGAAGGAGTCTGCGAAAATTACCTTTTTTTTTAAATCGTCTTATTTTGATGCGAAGATTACAAATCCGACAGCGGTATGTCGATTTTTTCAATAATTATATTTTTTTGAATTTATAAAAAATGAATTTTTACAAAAAAAACTTAACACACTTAGCACATGTTCTTTCGCGTGGTAACTTCTTTCTACATCTACATCATATATATATATATGTACATAAATTAGATTTAAAAAAAATTCACTTTCCGCTCACGTATTTGTAATCTTTGCGCCAAAATAAGACGATTTAAAAAAATTTAATTCTGAAGCTTGCGTTATTGGGTGACCTAAACCATACATTTTCATATAATTTAAGGTTTTATGTGAACTTTACATAAATAGCTTTATGATTTTTATATAACAAGGATCAAACTGAACGAGACATGATTGAATTTGTTGATATGGGCATAGAAGGATTTCTCAATGATCTAACATTAGTGGTTACTTCATATTTTGATATGTTTGTAACAAAAAGCTATGATAAAGAAAGGTAAGAGTTGCGATAAAATTTTTTCAAAAATCCGTTCCGAATTGCATATAAATTCATATATGTATGTATGTATATGTTATCTTTAGCGATGATTTTCAAGAACATTCCTTGCGCCAATTAAACGTATTTCTTAATCAAAATGTTGACAAATACTTGACACTCGTTCATGATCGTGTTGAATCAGACATAGGCTTCGGCGATACACAAATATTGCTTCGAGCCCTTGATCGCCTCCATCGTCGCCTTCTGGCTATGCGCAATATTTGTCGTGGCTTGGAAATACAACGTAACACAGTAGACATTATAATCGCAGCTGCACATCAACTTTGCGAAGCGCATTCTAAATCATTAAAAGATCACTTCTCCGATAGCCTTAGCTCTGTACGTTTGGCACTAGTATCTGCAAAAAGTGACAATAATACTGGCGCAAATTTGAATGAATTAATTACTAATTTGTATATGTCTATGGTGGAAAAGGTAAAAGGGGTACTACAGGATTTATTGGTATTTCTGCAGACGGATTGGTCATTCAATATTAAGGCAGATTACAAAGGAGGTCTATGTGTTGAAGGTATACGGGAGAGTTTATTAATTGGTAAATATTAATAATACATTTGCCTTCAATTTTTATTATGTGTAGTATATAACATTTATCAGGATTCATGCGTCATATTTCTAAAGTGATGTGTTCCTTTGCTGAAATCTCAAGTCCAAGTCCTCCAAATCTTCTATTGGTTCTATCAAAAACATGTCTTGAAATGGAACAGAATGGCGTGCATATTCTGGTGAATTCTCAGGTTTACAGTTTTACAAAAATTATTATTACTAGTTTTTCTTTTTTATTTTAGATCACTTTGGTTGACGACTTATATGAAATTGATTCAGAAAACAGTGCAGTATTAACTCATGAAACTGAAATTTGTGCGGAAATGCGCGAAACTGCGCAAACCCTACTAGATGCATATGTTCGTTTACAGGGAACAAATATATCACAGGTATTACAATATATATAATACATATTCATATGCATATGGAGGTAATGTATAATGTAGTAAATTCTCATTATCATCATATTAGATGATGAGGAAGAGCGTAGAAACTCGTGATTGGCTAAACTGTCTAGAACCTCGTTCAGTACGGGCTGTAATGAAACGGGTTGTGGAGGAGCTGGGGTCAATTGAAACTGTTGTGGCTAGTCTTTATGAAGCTGGCGTTAGAACGACAGCAAGCAGTGATTCTAGTCGTAAAACCCATTTTAGCACATTAACAACAACTAAGCAACATTATCGTTCTAATTGGTCGAATTATACGCCATCGCAATTAGAATCTAGTTATGTCTCGAATATACATCGATTATTTTCGGAACGCATTGACATATTTACAAATGTTGATTTTTCAAAAGTATCCATTGTGACTGGTATCATTAAGATTGGCTTAAAGGTAAATTTGTTTGGTGAATATCTTTATTTCTATACAATTATGCATATATTTATTTTAGACTCTTTTGGAATGCGTACGTTTTCGCACATTTAGTAAATTTGGCTTGCAACAGGTACAAGTGGATACTCATTATTTGCAAATGAATCTTTGGCGATTCGTCGCTGATGAGAAGTAAATATCGTATATTGTTTAATAATTCCTTTCAATAAATTGTTAACACTTATTTATTTCAGTCTCGTGAATTTTCTGCTTGATGAGATACTAGGTTCCGCTGTACATCGATGTTTAGAGTCTATACTTATGGAACCGAATGCGGTCGAAATAATATGCGAGCGCGGTTAGTATTATCTATTCACGTTTATCGCATTATCGCATCAATTGCTGAATATCACTAACTATTTTAATTTCCGCCTAATTAATATGCTAGCCTAAATATGGATTTACTTAAAATTGAAAAGATTTGTATATTATATAAAATAAAAACTTTATTTCAAGTACGTTATACTAATTTATTGTAAAAATTATACTATTATCATTCGGATTCACATCTTCGTTATCACTGAAACCTTCTGTTGTCACTAAAATGTTGTGTGTTTCTCTTCCATCGTCTGATTTAATCATAATTACTTGTGGCATATTATCGTCCTCACTGCTGATATCGACTTCTGTAACATTTTGCTCTTTTGAAGATTTTATTTCGGCTACTTTGTCTTTATCTATCTTCTCGACATAAGCATCCGGTTTCGCAGCATTTTCACGCCGCTGTTTGCGAGTCTCTTCGAACTCCTTAGGATGCATTTTCTTACGATGTGAATGCATATTTGCATTAGAATTAAATGTTTTAGGACAGTGTGGGCAACTATATAACACCTCGCCTGTATGCATGGTCATATGTTCCTGTAAAACATATATATATATATATATATATATAGATTCTCCCTGTAAGTAATTAAGGAATGCATATATTAGGAAATACCTTTAAAGATATGGCCTTTTTGAAAGCCTTCTTGCAAACACTACACTCGAAAACACGTTCAGATTTATGAACATAACGTTGATGACTGAGTAGCGCGCTTCGATTTGGCGCCACCTTTCCGCAAATACTACAAACGTGTAAGGTGCCATCATCGTTATGACGTCGCTTATGTTTCTGCAAACTATATTTATCTTTATGCCATGATCCACATTTTTCGCATTGAACTTTCGGCAAAACAATACCAGAGTGCTCCAATTGATGTCGAGCAAAGGCTGTGCGCCCCCTTATGACCTTCGCACAAACATCACACATAGTGGCACCATAACTCGAATGCATTGTTTTCATATGTGTGCTCAACATGTTGGCTGATGCAAACCTTTTGAGCAGAGGAAAACTTATAAATACATTTAGAATTAAATACGATAACGAGAACTATATTTACCCTCTTTTGCAGATATCACAAATGTGACTACGTTCTTCATGAATAAGGCGATGTTGTTCAAGAATATATGGACGTGCAAACCGTTTCGGGCAGTGTTCACATTGATACTGCTTTTCTTCTTCCGGCTGGTGTTTGATCAAGAAATGGTTACGCATACATTGTTTATCGGCAAATGTTTTGTCGCAAGACTCACATCTAGACATAGAAAAGTTTAACACTCATAAACTACATTTCGATTTGATATTTAGTATAACTAAGTTTACCTATAACAATCCGGATTAATATGTTTTTCTATATGCCCTACCAGAAGCGCTCGTTTATTGAACTTTTTATTGCAGCAAGTTGCGTAACCTTTACATTGATGAATTTTCTCCATATGTTTTCTTAATTGAGAAAATGTCTGTTGTTCCGTTGCACAAATATCACATACTAAACGTATACATTGCGCGATTTTTTCATCAATTTGACGCATCCGTTCCTCATAGCTTTCCTGTTGCGAATCATCTTCTTCATTTGTGTCAATTTTAGATTTCGTTCTTCCTTTTTTATCCTTTTTTTCACTTTTAATTTTAGGTGGTCGACCCCGACGTTTTCTTTTTCCAAGATCTGTCTTTTGGCATTCATTGCCTATTATTTTCGATCCGCAATCTGAAATGCTTTTGCTAGGCTCTAAAAAATTCTTTGTTTTAGAGCGAGTGGAACGTAGCTGCCGTTCTAGCGGTAAGGCAAGTGCGTCTAAAATGTTAGTAATTAGCTAATATTTATAGTTGAAATATATTTTTATTTATAAAATTCATCACCTTCGCTTTCTTCAACTATACCCATAACTTCCTCCATAAATGATTCACTATTTATGTAAGGCTCATCACCATCTAGTGACTGTTCACCATTCAATTCTTTCGGTTCAACACAGTTTAAACCTTTGACAGCAGGTTTGTCGAGCGTACAGATATTTTGTCTATTGTTTATTAATTCATCATCATTACTAAAGTCATTTTTGGGAATTGTAGTTGACAAATTTTGATCTAACCATGCATTGACATCTTTTTCCTCGGTTATTGAATAGTTACGCCTTTTACGGCAATTGGGCTCTATATCGGTCTTTAAAGAAAATCGTTCTGTTAATAGCCTATGAGCTTCCTCCACACCTAAGTAAAACTCATTGAAATTGGAAACGCTAATCCAACACGAATTGCATATTGCAGTAGATATAGGATCATCACTTCTTGGCTAAAAATAATCATTTAATAAAAGTTAATGAAATACCTATTGTGCAGACGTTGTTTTGGTAACCTACCTCGAACCAGAAGTATTTAGCAAGTACAGCAGCAACATTTAATTCAATCCCTATCTCGTCAAAAATATTAATTACATCTTTAAAATGCTTCAGACACAATCTACAAATCATTTTTATATATCTTTTTTTATGCGTTAAGATGAATCAAAATTTGATAAATAACTCTATGCCAGCTAGTAAAACAGCAAGTATAAATCAATCAGCCATAAACAATAATACAAAATCCTCTAGAGTGTTGCCCTATTTGTTAATTGCGAAAAATAATTGGGTTAAACAAATTATTTACTCACTTTCTGAAATTAAAGTAAAAAATAATATTATTTTTGGTAGAAATATAAAATTGTAATTTATATTATCTGAGTAGTTTTTCTCGTCAAAGAATATTTAAAAATTTATTTCTGATCGATAAGATAACCGCATATCTAAAGAATATAATCGATGTTTTAATATTAAAGAAGAAGAACAATCAGCTTAACTTTTTGGGAACAAGGTTTTCTTGGTTTGGTTTCTGTAAAACTCTGCTTGATATTTATTTACTAAATATGAAGGTAAATATTGATCACTTTTGATTGTCTTCCGTAAAATATGATATACATTTCATTCATAGCGTATTAGTGAAAAGAAACTAGAAGCTTTCGCCGTTGGGAACATGGGCAAACGCACTCTTTCCAAAAAGGAAATTGAAGAACAGAAGAAGAAAGAAGATGAAGCTGCCGCAGCACATGTAATCAATAATTTATTTAAATAAAAAAATAAAGTGTACTAAAGTTTATTTTTATACTTGACAGGTATTCAAAGAATTTGTGGAAACATTTCAAGAAGCACCTAGTGCCTCATCCAAAGTATGGGTAAAAGCCGGTACTTATGATGCTGGTTCAAGACGTAAGTTTAATGATTTTTTAACTAACATGAGATTAGTAATTTGTAATATATTATTTTCGAAGGTGAAGACAACCGCGACAAGGGTAAATTATATAAACCTGGATCAAAGCTGGATGAGAAAAGTGCAGCAGAAAAGGCACAAGAATACGCTAAAATGCTTGCATCGGACCTAAAAAAAGATGTAGTTCCACTTAAAAAGAAAAGCCAAGAGAAAAAAAAAAGCAATTTAGAATTGTTTAAAGAAGAATTAAGACAGTAAGTTACCAACAACTATACCACACTGTATTAAATGTAACTCCTCTTTTAGAATACAAGAGGAACGTGAAGAGCGTCACAAATACAAACATCTGGCGGGTCAGGCGGTAGCTCAACAGATCGTTGAGAATACACCCGAAGCACGGGAATCGGGATCATTCGATACCGGCGACCCAAATACAACTAATCTCTATTTAGGCAATCTCAGTCCCAAGGTACTTTTGTATTTTAATAATATAGTAGTAAAGATTTGTTATATATTATGTTTTTACATTCATAATTTTAGATTTCAGAACAACAGCTAATGGAAATTTTTGGACGATATGGACCGCTGGCAAGCATAAAAATTATGTGGCCGCGTTCCGAAGAAGAAAAACAAAGAGGTCGTAATTGTGGATTCGTAGCTTATATGAGTCGTAAAGATGCCGAAAGAGCTCTCAGAACTCTGAATGGACGATACATAATGGGTTATGAGATGCGTCTAGGTTGGGGTAAATCCGTACCAATAATGAACCAACCCATTTTTATACCACCTACACTTTTGGAACTGACTTTACCTCCACCGCCATCTGGTCTACCATTCAACGCCCAACCGCCACCTGCAGATGCTCAAAGTATACCAAGAATTAACTACAAAGAATACACTACAGAAGAAGAGAAAGAAAATATGGAAAAGGTAAGAGACGTTGATTGTTTCAATTTAATGTTTATCTCTGCAATAAAGTGTTTCTTAATTTTTATAGATTCTACATAAATCTGTTGTGAAAGTCTTCATACCTACAGAAAAGTAAGAGTTAATAAAGTTGCTAAATAAAATATTTAAGAAATGTTCATATTGAATTGCAGAGCGGTACTCAATATTATACATCGTATGATTGAGTTTGTTATACGCGAAGGCCCTATGTTTGAGGCATTGATAATGAGTCGTGAAATAGAAAATCCATTATTTTCGTTTTTATTCGACAATGAAAGTCCTGCGCATATATATTATCGATGGAAACTGTTTTCATTATTGCAAGGTGATACTCCCTCAGAATGGAATGAAAAAGAATTTCGAATGTTTAAAGGAGGTCCAATCTGGAAGCCACCGATAGCAAACTTTTACACAATGGGTATGCCAGAAGAACTAGTCGTTGATCCCGATGCCACCGTTGTGCACAAAGGTGCACTTTCAAATGCGTACGTAATTATCTAGCAATGATGTACCTTTGTATTCATAACATTCATTTTTAGCCAACGCGTTCGCCTAGAAGACCTTTTACGCCATATAACGCCTGAACGCTTCCGCATTGGTGATGCAATGATATTTTGCATCGAACACGCTGATGCTGCAGATGAAATTTGTGAGTGCATTACCGAATCGTTATCCAATCCAGACACATTGGTTTCAAAAAAAATTGCTCGTCTTTACCTCATCTCCGATTTATTGCATAATTGTACTGTGAAAGTTTCGAATGCTTCATTCTTCAGAAAAGCGTAAATATAAATAACATGAAATATTTAATCACAATATTTAACAACAATACAACTCTTTCAGCATTGAAAAACATTTAGTGGAAATATTCGAAAATTTGCACAATTTTTTCAACTCAATGGAGAGTCGGTTAAAGGCTGAAGGTTTAAAGTCGCGTGTTATCAATGTAATACGAGTTTGGGAGGAATGGACAATATATCCTAAAGAATTTTTAGCAAAATTGAAAAGTGTATTTTTGGGAAAACAGGTATATAAAAAGTTCTCCGCAAAAGAATTAATTATTAATATATTTACTTTACTTTATATATCTTTATATACAAAAATTAAGTTACGCGTTGTTTAACCGCGATAAACTCGTAAACAACTTAAAAGATAGGATATGTAGTTTATATCTCAATTAATAGGAGCGCAATTTTTTTCAATTTATTTCACTGTATTGAATAGTTTATTATAACCGGACCTTCTAGTATATATATATATGTATATATAAATATATTATATGTTGAAACCTTTTATATCAAGATCGCGCCATCTCCACCTCCAATAGAGGAAGCTGTAGAAGAACTGCAAGACGATATTGATGGGGCTCCCTTGTCAGGTGATGAAAAGGACGACGAGGACTTAGATGGTATACCATTGGATGGTGCAGCGTTGTTAAAGAGCGCTCTGATGAGGGGATTACCAGAAGCGATGTCAATACAAAAAAGTACACCCACAAGGAGAGGTGCCGGTATTGAAGAAGATGACGATATTGATGGAGTACCATGTAAATTCAATACCAAAAATATTGTTTTCAATTAGATTTGTTGAAATTAATGATTTTTTTCTTGAATCACAGTGGACGAAGACATTGATGGCATACCTTTGGAAAAACTACCTTCTGATTTCAGCGATGCTCAGATGAGATCAAATGCCAAAAGTGGTGCGTTCATACCATCGAAGTGGGAAACAGTTGATCCCGAACAAGTTGAAGCTCAGGCAATCACAACTAGTAAATGGGATACTTTGGATCCACCACAAGCACCAAAGTTTTATGATTCTAGTGATGACGAACAGTTAAACAATAATGTTGCACATCATTACGACGACGATAAACGCACAAAGTTACGTGAAATTGAAGTGAAAACAATGCAATATCAAGATGAGTTAGAAGCAGGCTTGAGACAACTAAAATCAGGCTGGACTATAAGTGAGCAAGTGGAGTACTTTAGGCTCAAGTTACTAAAAAGGGTCAGTAGTTCGGCAAGGATTGAAAGTGAATAAAAACAATATTTTGATATTTCTTATAGGACACTGATGTAACAGATTCACCATTATCGTTTATGAATACGAAAGATAATCGTCGAGGGAGTGAATCTCCAGATAGCACTAGCAGACGAGCACGTCGTCTTAAGCGGTCGCCTTCACCAGTACAATATAATAGCAGCAGTTCACGATCATCGCCAGCGCGTACAAGTTATAAACGATCGCGTTCTCCACTAACTACACGACGCGAAGGATCGCCTACCACTTCTGGCACGCGCACCGCTAAATCTTCAAGACGAAATCGTTCACGTTCTCCTTCAGACTCGCCAAAACGGTATGCAGAACGCACAATATATTTATCAAAATCAGCTCGATATGAAAATTCACCACGTTCCCGCAAGTCGCCTTCACCAGGCTACTCATCGTCGCGTTCAACTAAACGTGATGATAGAGAACGAGAATATCGTAGCGAGAAGCATAAAAACCGCCATAAGCATTGAATTCAGAAGGAAGAGTACATCATAAATGTATATAAGCATTTCCTATAATTAAGCAATAAAAAAAAATTATTTAATTAAACTTACAAGTTATCATGATACATGCATAGTTTAATAAGGTCGGTATGCAGGTATACTTTAAATGTCAATGGAATTCAGTTTCAATGGAAGTAAACTAAAATACGAGGCAGAAATAAACCATAGCCAATTTTATAGCTTGAAGAATTTCCTTATCACAAATTTAACATATTACTCAAACGTAAGTATCTATGCTTATTAGATATAAATTCAGTAGTTTCCTTCAAACAGAATTGATTTCGCTTTCTTGCTTATAAGTCTCTATTATATCTTCAATAATTTCCCAGTGTTTTTCTTTTGTCAAATCGCTCACAAATGGCTGAAAGATAAATGGTAAAACATTATAAATTTCAAAATTTATATCGTATAATCAAACTTACCGTATACCACATGGATGCTTCATCGGATTCATCAGCAAGTGGGACCTGAATGCCATACGATTGTAATGCTAAAGACAGACAACATATTGCAACGTGTGATGGTTTGTGGTTTAGGATTTTTAAGCTGTGATGAAAATCTTGAAGAAACGAAGCTGCTGATTTTGCTATCGGTACTGATGACCAAATAGTATGACCTAACCAAGATTGCAGCGTTTTCATATAGTAAAGCAAATACTGTTGTAAAAATTGTAATAAAGGGGTTATTTAGTAAATATGGAAGCATATAGGTGCATAATAGTACCTTGTGTGGATGTTCAATATTCAAATCAAATTTCAAAGTGCGAGCGATTAGCAACTCCGCTTGGACTATGGCATCACGTATCGACCAATATTCATCTCCTAGTTCTAGTGGTGGTGTCCCACGATTTAAGGTGTTATGTGTAACATTAATAACGTCTCGGATTTTCACAGGATCATCCTTAATTTTTCCTGCTAGGTATAATGCGGAAGCAGCAATAAGCTGGAAAGAAAGCATAAACAGAATTAACAAAATTTTATTATAGGTGTATATATATGTACGTATGTATGTAGAGTTGTAAAACTTTTTTTTATTAGTCGACTTACATATTCATCGTAATCACTGCTTGATACTTCTTTAAAGAAGCGGTGAAAAATTATAGCTGCACTTGCTGAGGTCAGTGGCTTAATTTGCAGTTTAATAGCACATTCAAATAGGAAACGTGGCACAACACCAGGCTTATCCACTTTTCTGAAATTATTACAATTAGTTATATATTTTAGTTTGCAAGTGCGATGTATACACGCCTGATATTTTTCGAATGTATATTAACTTTACCGATAATCTGTTGGTTTCTGTTTCTGAATTTTATTCGCTTCAGATCGTTTTTGAACTGACATCACGTCCAATAAATTCTTCATTGTTATTCCTTTAATTTATAATATTGACCCTGTGTTAATATAAAAAATTGAGATATTTTGAACTAATGTTTATAACTTATTGAATTTTTACAAACGCATTACTTTCTAATAACTGGTTATTTGACCCCAGTTAAAGCGATCGGCGAGTATCATTTTTGTTTTTGTAAGACACCTACAAACTTAAAAACAGTGCTTTGTCATAATTTCAGAGACTTGCTCTGAAAACTTTTATTTTTTTCTGGTTTTTTTTTACTATATATTTATAACTAAACTTTTCAATGAACAATATATGTTAGCATATATAAATTTGTCAAATATCCACACTCTTTCAACGCAAACATCATCGCACACAAATATGATTTTACTATTTAGTTAATATAGTAAAAGGTATGTTTTTTTGTAATTTTTAATAAGGACTTTGTAATTTTGTTTTGTTGTCGACTTACCAGAAATAACAAATTATATACACGTTAAAACAATACTTCAACAGCACGCAAAATATATTATTCACCAAAGAAAACTTTGTAAAGCACTGTAAATTATAAAAGAGATTGGATAAAACTATCGATCAGTCAATTCAGAATTATTAATAAGCCCACCACTTATTTAAAATCATTTTTCATACTGCTAATATTCAGTTTTTATGAAATACAATTATTTTAACAGTTTGTAATTAACTAAGATAAAAGTATTTTCCTATTTTCTATTTTGGCTTTTTGTCCTAAAATTGATTTCAAGTTATATTTAGATTTTCAAAAAATTTATAAAATATCGAGGTAGTGTAAATTGCAACATCATAGTGTTAATTTTGTAATATAAAATTTGTATTTTTGTAAAATTCTTAAGCTAGAGCTCACCTATTGTCTTACAATTTGTCGTATTAAAATAAAAATCATGTATTTACTATATTTCTTGTCTTACCAAACTGATTTGGCAACCATATTTATAACGTACCAATACCTACCATTATTGATTTTTATATTATTAGTAGATGTGTTAACGGCAATTTTGTAAGCAGGACAGATTTTTATCGGCGTTGTTCCTTTTATTAAAGGTGAACGATTTAGTAACGTTATTTCATATTATTAAAAGTACATATGAATGTTTATTAGTGACGGAGCTTTATAGCGGTTAATTGCAGCAGTTTCCGAGTGTCAAAAAAGTGTTGGAAGTATGCACAAATATACAAATACCTCGTTAATACTAACAGTTGAGTTAGAATATTGTATTGTGGTTCATTATAATTTTGAATATATTGACAGTTGTCCACTTTACGCTTCTTACGTATAAAAACAAATTATACAAAAACATATATATTAGGAAAGTTTAAGCCGTACAGCAAGTAGTTTGTGAGATATGGTATATGTAAGTATGGTATGTATTTAAGGAGTTTACCAGATGTTCATAGCTACTTACGCTATTCAAAACAATAAATTAATTAATTATGAATATAACCATTTTTTATACTCTTGCAACATGTTGCTACAGTTAACCTTACGGTTGTTTGTATCACCTAAAACTAATCGAGTTAGAGGTAACCCCACTTGAGTAAAAATTCAGAAATCGTGAAAATATCATGAAACTTGGTACACGTGTTTCTTGGCACCGAAGTTGTGCTACGCCCACAAGCAGCAGTTAAGTGAAATTATATAAAGTGGCATAACTAAACTCCCTATAAAACAATAGAATTTGGTAAAGAGGCTCGCAGAAGTGAGGGACATCTGTGGGCTGAAAATGTTCGAAAAATGGGCCTGGTCGTGCCTGTTAATAGGTTTAATGTAAATATCCCCTAAACCACTACAGCTATCGTAACTAAATTCGCTCAGAATAAATACGATAAACACCTTTCGCACCCCTGTCAACAGTTTGAAAATAGGGGAAATCTGATGATAACCGCGCCCACTCCCAATGTAACGGTTCTTTTTTAACAACCAAAAGGGCTATAAAACAATAACGAAATGCGTCAGAGACATTAAATTTTACATCCGGGTTGGTGCAAGAAGACTTTATAGGAGTCGCTGTCAAAATTGGATGATGGGCATGGCCATCTAAAGTCTAATTGTTAAAATCGGATCATATGTGAAATTCGGATAGAAGAGAGAATCAGGTCCTACTTACATTAGCCCCCAGTTACCTAATGATTTTCGAACTTCCGGTTTATACTTAATACCGCATAAATCCGCCAATATATGAGTTTCCTTAATTAAATTGAGGAAGGTTTTTCTAAAAATGTGGTATCTTTGTACCTAAAATGGATAAAATTGGGTGAAAACTTGCCCTAGCCCCTTTATAATTAATATCAGGATATTCAAACATCCGGCTAACTTAACACCATATATATTGATGATATATGATATATGAGGTACCTTAATGAAACTCGTGGAGCATCTTTTTTTGTTAATAATATGCAATATTGCCAAAAATGAATAAAATCGGTCAATACTACCGCCAACTCCCATATACCTAAAATAGGATTTTCAAACTTCCAGTTGTCTTTATACCGTATACAAATATCAGTCGAAATGTACCATAAGATATGCATAAGATGAGCAAAGTTAAGTCAACGTATAATATCGAAAATACTATATTTGAATGCCGAAAATATGTAAAATTATATTATACCACATACATTTAATGATTTTCGTTATTCTAACAAACCTTATGTCGAATATGTCAATCAGTATGTGTGTTATTTATTTATGAAATTGCTTGAAAATATGCTCTCAAGCCTAGACCTTTCTTTACTCTCAATATGCCATTTATCGTGATTTCCGGATTTGAATCGTTTAGGTTGGTCAAAATGTGTGAAATTCAGTGGACAATTTTTGCTAAAATTTATATTAATGGTCTAGCACTGAATCTGAATGGCATTGGCCTAGACCTTGGCCGCAACCTCCATGTACACGTTTTCCACATCAACTCAATATATTAAATTTAGCCTTTTCGGTTGAGTTTATATCACATCTATCTCACTTGAAAATTATTTTAATATAATTTTAGCTGACGCGAAGCAAAATCTAGTAATAAAACTAAGTGAGACATGAATTTAATTGTAATCCATTAAAGATTTCGTCGAATAATGAATGTTGAATTCTTTCGCAGAATTTTTTAATATACATTTTTGTTAACACCTGAAGATATTTCCCCGGCTATGATCCGATGTGAGCGAGAGAATAAAACTTAGCCCTTCCTTATTTGTTTCGTCGTATGTTTTCCGAATATCGCCGTTTTGTGGTCGTCATCTGATTCCGTTCATATACTTTACAATTACCAATGCAATTTTTATCTGAAACGGATATCGAGTGCGTTTTTTATTCTAGATAAACCAGTAAACCATAAAAATGAGGCTTCAAATAATGTTCTCTTTTTTTGCAATAATTTTCGACAATTTTCGCTTTAAAAATTGTCTAATAATTTTACTTTATCTAGAGTAGTTTTTTTAAGCCCTTTAAAGAAATAACTGGATAAAGAAAAGTTTGCGCTTAATGGTCGGCTGTCTCGGCTCCAACCACTTTCAAGTGGCATATCTTCCTCAATTCCCACCATCTATTTATAGAGCTGTGTAATTATTAACATAATATAGGTACAAGTATATTATGATATTATGTATTTAAAAAATTAGCTAGGGAGAAAGTTCGGATGCTACTGAACATTTTATAATATCCAATATTCAAGGATCAATACCGGGGAAATATTTTCAGATTTTATCAAAATTTTCTTTTAAACATTTTGCTTTGAATTCCATATTTGTTATTCGACGAAATCTTGGATGAATTACAATCGTATTTGGCTCCTTATCAATTTACACTCTAGATCATGCATTCACTTAGTTTTTTATTACTTTTACTTCATGTCCAAGATATCTAACGTAACACAAATGTCTATATTAGAGCTATGAAAGGGTACATATCAATATCTATAATTTTTACTACCGTATAACCAACTGCCCATAGATATTTACATACTGAAAGTGGCAACACTTTCTGATATAAGAATTAAGGAGATTGGCGTTTGGAACAGGAAGAGTTATGGATATAGCAAAATTCTGAATCAGCACGATACTAATCGAAATAAATCACACTATATCCTCCCAAGGTTGGACTCAAATAGTGACTTCGAGGTGAGAATACCCTCTAGATGTGAATGGAGAAGAGGTTTAGTTGGGGAGGAGAGTACTACACAGTCTATACCGACGGGTCCAAAATGGACTACGGTGTAGGGACACGGATATACTCCGAGAATCTAAATATCTCTATATCTTTCCGTCTACCAAACTAATCTATCATCTTCTAAGCGGCCTGTGGAGTTCTACTGCACAATGCGAGTGTATACAGAAAGCGGCCATTTACACAGATAGCTTGGCTAACTAAATGATCAACTCCAGCTTATGATCAACTCAAACTTAGTAAACAAAGCGTGGAGGGCTTTAAGTGCACTGGCAGGTCAACTAGACTTGTCCTTAGTTTGGGTTCCCGGTCACAGGATCATTTTCGACAACGGAAAAGCAGACTCTCTTGAAGGGAGAAAGGAAACGATTCTACACTTCCTCTGTGAGTGTCTAGCTCTATCAAAAATCAGACATCGAACTTTTGGAATCCATCAGTTACCAAACCTCGGATGTCTATCTACAAAAGGCATAACGGATATAAGGAGTTTTATTGAGGGCACCAAATGGTTTGAACACAGCAATGGAACGTGATATCAAGATACAAGGTCTTATGACAGTGTATCAAAATGGCGCTTCTACCTACCTACCTAAGCCTATCAGCGTGGTCCCCGCCGTTACACTTATGTTACACGGTTCTATTGAGGGCATAGCCGTGGCCGATTTCGGCCATCTGCAATACTCTTCAGAGTGTCAAGGAACACATTTACCAAGTTTCATTAAGATATGTTAATTTTTACTAAAGTTATCGTTTGTATGGACGGACAGACAGACTGAATTCAATTCGTCTCACCATCCTGATCCTTTATTTCATACCATTATACATACATAAGTATATCTATCTCGTTTAGTTTTAGCTGTTACAAACAACCTTTATGTGAACAACACTATTATATTCTCTGGCAATACGTTGCTAGAGTATAACAATGCATTAGAAAATTCTACTTCGAAAGGTTTCCGTGATACCAAGTCTCCTTTGGATCCCCATACGAAATAAGTATTCTAATTTCAAAGCCTATATGTATGCTCGATTCATAATAAGTTTTTTAATCTACTTTTGATTTCTCATTTCCGAGATTGGTCAAGTGCAGTACAAATAATGTAAACAAAGGCTTTTGTTTTCTTATGTCTCTACATACAAACAAAGCATATTGAGAAGAGCAAAGCAGTGGTGCAAATTATTCGTACATTGAAGAAGAAAACCATATATTGAGTGTCAAAGTGAACGGTGGAAATCGCGAGAGAGAATGTGTTAAGTGGAAAACTGGTATGATGTGTTTATGAAAATACCGCTGTATCTATGTCCGTACATATGTATGTGTGTACTATCTTCAGTTCTAACAACAAATTTTAGAGTACGGAAAATCCACAGTAGACAATCAACGACAATTTTCTTAAAAATATTACTCACAAACGAGAATGCAATAGACGTCATTGACTAAAAAAACGATGGATTGCGCCTGGTGGAAACGATAATTGGAGCATATACATCTGCGAAAGTCTGCATGTGGGTACACACACTGAGTGCGGCTTTGATGGTGGTTGTGGTGATAGACTAAAAGTTTTCACTTCGAAGACAAAATTTCGCCATCCAAGTAGTCTCCGAGTTCTACTTGACTAGATCGAACGTGAGCATCGGTTTTAGTGTAAGGTTCAAAAAACATACAAACTATGTATGTGTATACATATGTACATGTATAAAGTGGAATACGTTTAAATAAATCGGTAGTTTTATAAATTCAGTAATGTTCGTTTAAAATAAAATTTCAATTAAAGCAATCATAACAGAACAATAATTGTTTATTAATTATTTGATTGAATTAAATATTTATCGTGGAAAATAATAATATATATATATAATATATACGTTTGTAAATTTTGGCTCGTTGTGGAACAAATACTGAAAATTTTTAAATTTCTGAAATGCTCAAGATGTGAGCTAAAAATAAATAATTACGGGCAAAATGTGTATTTAGTCACAAAACGCAGTGCGGATCGCAAAATTTTATGTAATAACAAATTTAAATGAATACTACATATGTATATGTGACATACATACATTGCATTGAAATTAAAATAAAAGTATAAATGAAGTGAGCCCAGTACACATACATATGTATGTACATACAAGCGCGCATACTATTGTATATAAATATATCTACATATTTATCAATGTGTAAAAATATAACATAATAATAACGCGAATACTTCACACCATATATTCAATTTGATAACGCTTTTCATAAATGCATCCACCATTTACAGATGGAAAGTGGTTTTTATATGTTGTTATGGTATGTTATTGCTTTTATATCCTATTGTTGACATAAAGGTGGATAGACTTTCATCAAAAGGGTTCTTCAGGGACTTACATTTGTACGTCTAATACTCACTTCAATGCATAAACAGTCTACCCGATTAGGTCTACCCGGTTATTATAGGTGTTGAATGTATCACTTCAATTAGCTATGCCGTGGGTTCAAGTGTACGCCGCGGCAATGAAGCGAGTTGCTCTGAAAATCATCTAATCAAATGAAAAAAGAAAATGCCTTTATTCATTAATGGTGCATAGTATTCAAATGCACCACAAGTTTAACCTTTTTATTAACTAAGTATTGTATATACAATTTGTATGTATCACGGTTTCTCAAATTCAGTTATTATCAATATATTTATTATTATAATTTTTTAATTACAAGTTCCAAACTAAATCTAGTGCTTATTATTTTATACAATGATGCAAATATGCAGTATTCAGAAAATAGTGAACAAACTGCGGAAAAACCAGACAGACATAAAATGAAGAATAAATCATTGAAAAAGAATGTTCAGAATATTCAATAATCGTGTATTTTTCAGATAGAAATGACCAATTAAAATTCAAAAGCAGACAATTAATGGGAATTACTATTATTAAGCAGGCGTAACATAATAAAACTCGAAAAATCCGAAAACATAAATAATATATAATGCTACATACATTTAACTTATCAACGAATAATAAAAAATTAGTTATAAATAAAGAAAAAAATTAACAAAAATATTAAAAAGATTCAGAAAGTGAACTCAGAATCATAAGTGTTCTATATAAATATTTGTATTACCTGTGGAGAAATCGGAATATTTTTTTTATACATACGCATACACCCAAATACAAGTATATTTAGAATAGGCAGCGTTTAAGCACAAAATAAAACTTGTTGGAGGCCGTAAAAATCGAATAACCAATCAAAAAAAATGCAACAAACGCGTTCACAGCGAAGACCATCTAGTCATCTTTTTCAAATGCAAGATGGACTCAGTCCTAAAAAAACAGCCGTCATAATTGTGACAGTGATTGGTTGCATTGCAATACTTTGGCCGAAGGTATTCTACCCGTTGATGTTCGGCAGCAATGTGCCCGCGAAAAGCGGGAATTTAAAAGATCAACGTGGACCGGGAGGTGAGTAGGCCAAAAATTATTAAAACACCCAATATTTGCCAGTTTTATTTTTATTATTTCAATTTATAATAATCTGTATATTTTTCACATTTTTTCTTTTGTATGGAAAAACGTAAATCTGTTTTAAAATTGTGCGTGCTATGTTGTGTATCAATACTCAGGTTGTTGTGATGTTGTTATTGACAGAGATAAGTTTCTGAATGAAACTCCAACAGAAATCGGTCCACAATTGTACCGCAAGCAACTGAATTTATATACCGGAGAGATGAGTATGTTTTCTACACCTTGAAATATAATTTTATTGTTGGCACTACTAAACCTTTTAAAAAATTAATCATTGTACCATTACTTGCGAGAAATTCGGTCTAACACCAAGAAACTGAAAACTTATCGATCCTCTCTAAATTAGTTAATATGTATTAAATCGGCTTTAAATTAATGAATTACTAATAAAATTTCATTTGTGTAGACAAAATGAGTTTAATATTGTTTAAGGGCCAAAAAGACATTCTATAATACCATTTAATTGAAATCCATTAAGCCGCGCGTAAGAGTTAATTCACTATGTTTCAAGTACTACGATTGTAAGCACTTGCGAAAGTAATATTATCGGAACAAAGGGAAACCGAAAATAATAGTAATAATTCTGTTCTGCAATGAATGATAGTTTTCCAAATTGGAAATCTAGTTACCAATTTGAATTTGACACTCACATCTTCCGGCAATTCATTACATATAATGACTTTATTGTGCTGATAAGGTGTCCTTGACGTAGTTTCCCTGCTTTATCGCAAACTTTAATCAGGCGATTTGTGTTTGCATTTACACTTTGGCATTTATTCTTATCGGTTCAAATATCTAGAATATTTTCATGTAAAATATTATCTTCAGGCCCCTTTGATATGGTTTTTATGTAGTGTTTAGTCCAATGCGTCATGCATAAAGTATTTACTGTTATTCTGCGTGTATGACGTTTCTATGAATTCAAGTCCAAAGGAGGAACAAGGCAGTAACTGCCTTAATAACAGCAAACTAACCATAACACAAAAATATCTGACTGAGAAGTTTAGCAGAGTATATCTTTACTATGAACATATGCATACCCCACATTCTTAGATGAAGAAATTTCGTGAATACATAACATGTATGTTTTGAAATTTGTGGTAATTTGATTTTTGAATATAATTAATAAGCACAAATTTTATTTTTTTTAATTTATACTTTTGTCACCTTAAAGAGGTTTTAATTCTTTTCGTAGCCACACTAACTCACGCTTTAGAAATGTACATATATATATTGGTAATCACCATATAATAATAGATTCTAATCCAGGTTTACGGCAGGAGCGTCCAGCACATTTACATCCCGAATCAATTTATCAAGCGATGCGTGAACGGGGTCGTGCTATACCCGCAACTACACCGACAGTGCCAATTTTGGAGCGCAAAGGATCAGCCAACAATCCACCGCCACGTATCATTGATGGCCGCGTGAGTATAATATGTAGACGTCTTAAAATGACGTACCGACCTTTTTCTCTCACAACGCATGACTCGTAATTCTTTATTTCCGAAGGATCAGATAATATATAAATATGAAATATGTACTTAAAATATAATTATATAAATGTTTCTCGATTTTGTAAGTTTGCATTTACGGCACTCCGAAATTGGTCAGAGTCCCCATTTATGTCCCCTGAATTTTTTACCTTTACACGATTTGCTTTGAATGGGCTAGGTATAAACATAAAACTTTCTCACTCACTCAAGTTCCTATTTAAGCTTTCATGAACAAAAGCATACATACATATGTAATAATAGGTATGTAGATATTAATAATACGTATAGTATATATAATTTCGCTAGTCTAACATACTACCGATGCTCGTGTAGATATGTAAAGCGATAATGAACTCTGAGTGAAAATTCGAAAATTCACGGTCAAAATTACGCGCACACTTTTCGCTCTAGCTAGAACTTTCGCTTTTCTCTTTCAAGATCATTTCGATTTGTTTTCGTTCATACATAAATTCTGCATTACATTACAAACACGCACCCAAATTATATAGTCAATTTGTTCACACATGCGTTCTTGTGGTATGAATGGAACGATTAACATTAGTGTCTTAATAATTCTCACAATCCCAGACTGGACTCTTGCTTTCAATTGTCCCAATGCAATTATTATAAATAATTTTACAATTTAATTAACAATATACAAACATTTTTACATGCGTGCATGTATTCCAAGTTGTTATACATTTCACTTTACAGCCTGGTCCTATACCCGGAATGCGCCCACCCATGGGTGCCGGATCTATGCATCAACCGCAGGCCCGTGCTGGTAATAGTATGGGCTTCATAATGCCACTTTATACAATTGGGATAATAGTCTTCTTTGGTTACACGATTATGAAGGTAAACAAATTAATTTAAATAAATCGTATGATATTAGGCAAAAATAGTTGTACATAACCTCTAAAATTTAAAAATTTCAGAGGCCTACAGAAAATTATTTAATAATTGACTTCCTTATCCTTACTTCACAGTTAGTTTTCAAGCGGCCAACGCCGAATGCCCCCTATGGACCCATGCCAACTAATCCCGACTTTAGAAAAGAAGTCTTTGGTCAAGAAAATGGCAGACAAGTTGACGAAGTAAATAATTCAAAAATAGGTGAGTTGCTTATATTTTAATAAGTAATTAAAACCTTGAGATCATGTTTGTAAAACATTGCTATCCAGTCATTGAAACCAGTATGTGAACCTATAAGTGTGTAGGTGTGTGAACAAAAGCATATGTACACTTTTCCAAATATTATTGGTTCATCTAACCGATTTTTGTAGCATTCTAAAAATATATGACCTTAGCTCTATGTTATGTACTTGTTTGACTCCATCCATTCGCCTTTTGAAAATGGAAGGAATCGAAAAAAAACATTTTTATAAAGCGATAATATGAAAAATATATTAATATTCTATAGTAAAGTTCGTAGCAAAATATTCGTATTTAAATATTTTTAATGCAAACGTTACAACGCTTTAAGTCCGTCCATCAAGATCTTACGTTTTGTTACTAATCGCAGGTTCTACTTATCTGTTTTTAATGTTCGTAAGTGAATATCAGCTGATAATTCCAGGCATTCTATCAATTTGCACATTCACTTAACATCTTTGAACTTTTCGGCTTAGAAGATTTACTTGTATCTATGGTTTTGTTTGTACCCACTGTGATTTTAATGAACTTAATGGAATTTTCTATAAAAAATCATAATTATTAGTCAAAAGTCAAATAGATAATGCGACGGCATCTGTCTTTAGGTGGAACATTTTACTTTTACATGCCATGGATATAAAAAAAAGCATATGATGGTTAAAGTTTTAATATTTCAATCAATAGAAAATAACACACATTTTCGCATTCGTTTATGTCTGTATGTAGGTACTTTTCATAGAAAGATTATTCCATACTTTTCTACTACTTAATCTTTCTATGAAAATATATAAAAAAATTTTTTAATTTTTATAAACCCAATCGTAACTTACTTCGTTTATCTTCATGTAAAATTATAAATCAGGGTGGCGCGAACATCAAGCAAGTAAGAAAAATTTTTCAACACAATGCGATTATATTTTAAGGAACATTATACACGCATACCTATAAAAACGTGATTTTATTTTAGTTGAAAGTATTTTTTTTTAATTTGTATCTCAATCATTTTAAAATATGTCCTACTTTTCTGTGTACTTAAAAGCATACTTTTACTCAATACTTTTACTCATTAAATATTTATTGCGATTTCTTTAAACAGCACTATAACTGATAGATACTTACCCATAACTGCAATGAGTACAATATTTAAACCTTTCATTATTATTATTTATAGACACCAAAGCACATTAAGCTTACTCTAATATCCGACATATGTATGTAATTGTAAAGTATTATGATGTTGTAATAACACAGCCACCCACATACTATATGATATTGTAAACATATATACATACTATAACTTAAGCCACCATATTTCATTTTACTATAAAAATAAACATCCAGTTACATACACAACTTATCCCGTTAACGCTTGCAAATACATATGTACATACATTTGTATTTACTTTGCGCATAATTTTATTAAGTAACAAAACTAAGCAATGTGTATTATAAGAAACTAGAATTTAAAAGTGTAGTGTGCTGTCTATTAATACACTGAAACGAAATACCGAAACCAATAACATTCTAGGGTCGAAACCACATGAGCACATCAGCAGTAGTGGTGGCGGCAGTGTTGCAAGTGGCAGTGAGCTTTACAATGCCAGTTTGGCAACTGCCACGGCGGCTTCCATTCTATCGACGCAGCTGAAGCAACACAGTCATGGAATACCCAGCACTTTTGGTGGTGTTGGCGGTGGCGCTGGCGGAAACTTGGCTGCCGGATCCAGCAAGGAAACTGAACAATTAATGGAAATTGAGAAATTGCGTAAAAAACTTGAGGATACCGAAAAGGCGATGGCAAAATTGATCGCAGAAATGAACTCAGACCAATACGAAGCTAAGGTTAGATAGACGCTCCCCAAAACATATACATACACATTCATTTGTTGCAAACAGTAGACGTTTCCATAAGCATAAGTTCATTAATACAAACATACATACATACCAATGAATAAGCAGTTTGAGTAAAGCTAGGAAAAATATTAGTGCAAAAAATATACGCTGAAGTTTGTTTTTTATTTAATTACAGGAATTGCAATATTCTATATCTATGCACATACACATATGAATATGTTTAAATATATATTTGTTGCTGAAAAGAAGAAAAAGATCCATTGATCTCTCTCATAAATAAAATTTCACTTATTTTCACCTACTTTCAAACAAATTCCACATGCAAGTATTACATTGAGTGCTAAAAGCGTAGATTGATATATCGTAGTATAATTGTACAACAAAAAATACAACTTCAGCATATATTTTACCAAGCGTTTGTAAATTCATTTTAGTCGTAATGTGTTAAGTTCATTTATAAGAAATTACGTTTTTATAAATATCGTCTAAATATCGAAGTTCATTGAGTCAATAATTTGTAGCTTGTTTTTTTCATAATAGACTTAATTAAAAATATGTTTTATTATATTATTTTTATTCATATGTTCATTTCAAGATGATCGCCATACAATTTATACAGAGTAAAATGAATTAGAATATTCACAACGAATCAAATTGAGAACGAAAAACAACTAAAAGTCAGCTCTAACGCCAACACACCACCAACCTAAGTACTAGCAAATAGATGTAAATTGGTTGTATAATTGATAACTTCTATAATTTAATTTCAAATTGACTACGACGCATCCCGTTGGTCTCAAAATTGTGAAGCACCTACTCAATCAGACAAAAACGGCATTCTTGAAATTAATCCACATACATATTGGACCAAAATCTGTTGAAATCGTATAACAGAGTTTGCGCTTCTATAGCACTAAGTGTCACTTAGCCGCTCTCCCTCGAATATTTTATCTCGCGGTCCCTTATTGCTACACGAGTACTGCGCGTCCTATACCCCAACTTCCCGTGAACCCTAGGCATGCCATACAACTTAAATTTTTTGTGTAAATGCATGTTTCCATAAACACTACTAACTTCAAAACATTTAAAAAATAAATATTATAATTTAAATCATCTGTAATTAGTTTCAGAAAAGTATTTATAAAATCTAATTTGGTAAAGAAACCAATCAACAAGAGGACATATTTTAAATGATTTTTGATATAACTCACATGTGGTATGTTTTCCAAATTATTCCATAACTAAGTTATTGTGATATATCTCTCTCTATATTTCGGCTATTACCGGCGAAAAATCTCATCTCTTCTCACCATGAATCATTCAAATTTGCAATTTCTTTTACTCATATTACTTCATTATTCACTTTCAACATATATACATAGGTATTAGTGCAATTATCAGAATGTTCTCTCCAGCAAAATTTAAATACCAATCCTTTCTGTTTCATAATTCTTTCCATATGGTGCACGTGTTCCAACCCTGTAAAAAAATAAAACCATAAAAATTCGACAAAACTGAAATCAATGCACTACTCAATTAATAAACGTGAACAAAACGAGTAGTTGTAACAGCAATTCAAGGTTTAATTGATGCTGCCGATGAGCAAATAAAATTACGAGAGAATAATGCGACTTCAGATACACCTAAGGTTAGCCCCGCCAACATATATACATATGTAGATTTATTTCATCGCCGTTTTCGCTAAATTCGTACCCAAAGTACCTGCTACGAATATCAAAATGTATTTATATTAACTCTAACCAATTGTTTTGAAGCTAAAAAATCATTTCTTAAATATTATTTAGGTTGTTCTTACTTCTATACTAACTGTTTAATTTTGAATGCGTGATTGTGTTAGTCATTTATTTCTTATCCTCTTTTTGTTTTTAATATAATTTATGTAACTGGAGAATAGCATGTTCTTCACTAAACATTAAACCACATATGGAACATATAGATTTTCATATTAAAAATAGCTAAATAACAGCTGCATTTGGATTGGTTTTGTTGCAAATATTTCAGTATTTTAAAATATAAAATTATTACAATAACATATGTACATACATATATGCACACATGGTATATATATTGTAGCTTAAATGTTTTTACATTTGTTTAATGAACTCAGAAATCAAGCGAAAATCCGACATCGAACTTTGGACACATTTCCAATGGGCATACGAAATCTGAGCAGGAACATGGGCATAGGGATTATAAAGTTACAAACGAGCAAAATCTGGTGAATAGTGAAACCCCCTCTAATGTAGATAGAGAACATAAGCATGAAATCCAGAGTCCTATAAGTAAAACCATAGGTGCTGCTGAACAAAAGAACATCCAACAACGAATGAAAAAGGAAGGCAATGCTGATCGATCAGTGGCGGTAAGTATTTTATTATAAACTTTGAAAACAAATCACATGGGTTTGAAACATTGAAATATACGTATGTAATTTATAACTTGTTCTGTCGCATTTTACAATGTCTTTATAGAAAGTGCTTAATATTTGGTAATTTTTAGCTTCCGCTTGTTTGCAATAGTATTAAATTTCATTTGCAACAATTATTGGAAGATAATTGTGCATTTAATAAATGTTACAGAGGCTTGTAAGTCGAAAAAAGGCTCAATAAAAAAGTTAGTTAGTTTCGTTAGTCAAATTATACTCTTACCGAATTAAATCGTTTTTGTGTCCAAAGGATTATATGAATTGTAAAAGATATTTCTATATTTTTTATCTTTGGTAATATTTTCTAATCTTTCAATATTGTTTAGGTTCTTGGGATGGAGGTGACAGCAAGTTGTGAGGGTGGCCAAAAGTGGACAGGCCGCCCTCCAACACCTGTTTTCTTTTTGCACCATGAACATGTAAGTGCACAAGGCTATCGTGAACGCAATTACAAATGTGCACGTAGCGAATCTTCCGAGTCATCATAAAAATTGCACAACTTGTTCAATAACCCGATATCCATTTAAATAAATGTTTTATTCATTTAATTACAAGGATCTATCTTAATTCAACACAAAATCAATTACAATATAATGTTTGTGTGCATTTTAAGGGGTTAGGCCAGTCTAGAGGCCTCGAACAAAAAAAAGAAATCGAACTTCTAAAAGAGGGCTTAAGGAATCATGTATTTGAGTGTTTAAAAAAAATGTGTAGGTATGTTTTTAACTTCAGATTTCTCGTAAAATGGAGTATGGTATTTTTTATTTACAATTTTTACCAAAAAATTAGCAATAAATTGTTTAAACTAGAGTTAAAATTTAAATTGGATTCATGCCTATTTCAAAACTTCAATTTCGACTAACACCCGTTTAAAGTTGGACATGTAAAAGCTGGCTGGCCACACACTTCGCCACTACTGAGAATTGGACAGAGCAAATTGTTTTCATTACAACGTTGTTACACTGAATAATGTTTTTAGGACCCTAAAGTGTACTTTTACAAAAAAAAAATATCGATTATTTAACCCTATACTGGCCTAACTTCTTATGCTATTCATCACTTTTTGCTATTGTTATTTTAAAATTATTTTCAACGGTAGACAAAAAAATACGTACGTAATCTGCTTACAATAAATATTGTAGATGATATGTGCATCCACTGTTATATGCAAATTGTGTGGTAAATAATGTTATATTATACCAGCTGTACTACAATATATTTGAGTTTTTGTATTTAAATGACAGCATAACTATTTCCATATTATTAAAATTGTTATTAATTTGTAATAATATAACCTTTTTCTGGTCAAATTGTATAGTCCAGCGATAATAACGATACTCAGGAGCCTGAACCACAATCCATATACTTGGAAGGTGCTTTGGCGCACGAGTCACAAATATTAGTTACCGATTCGGAAATTAAAACTGAGGAAGTTTATGACAAAGAGCTTAATGGGTCACCAGAGGAGCCAGCGGTATATAGTCGTCAAAAATTTGTGTAAAGAACCATTTAATTGTACTTATATTTTGATATATTCTTCAGGTGGTGTTGAGTAGTAAGATGACATTATCACTAATCAATTTGGATACAAGCCATGAAAATAATTATGTGGAAAATCAACCGGAAATCGAAAGCCCCTTGGCGGATGATATCGAAATAATTGGTGCTGACGAAAAATAAAAATTATTTCTAAAAGTAAATATGTACTTAACTAAATTCAATTGACAAAATAATTAAATTGGATTTTGGTCGAAACTTCTTTAAACGGCATGAACGAAGATCTTCTTAGTGATCTGCAAATATATTCAGCAATTAATAAGGAAATTATATACATGAATAATTAGACAAATTTCGATAACATTATGGTAATCTCTTTGAATGAATTGTACGTTTATAGTATTTTCTAAGTCGTATCGATTTTAGCTATTTTCATGAACATTGATCTGAAAATTGTTATCCAAGGCCTAGAAGTTTGCGTCATGCATGAATATTGCTACACTCTGCTTATACATATTTGTTAAGTGTATACCGTATTTGTCGTGAACAAAAATAACATAATTAAAATCATGTACTTCCGTTGTATGGAAATTCTTATTATTATCCACTTATATTATTTTATTTATTACTTCCTGGTTTTACTTTCCATCGCTTTTCTTGTTTATCCACTTTTGCTCGTATTCTTATGTACATAAATTTGTACATGTATGCTCAAAATATTTAGTATGCCAAACTAAATTGTCGTATACTAAAATAAAAATACATTAGAAAAACATGCTCTACAAATTTAAATAATATCCAGTTTTGTCAAAAAATTATACAAATGTTAATACAAATAAAAATAATAATACTAGTAATGAAATGAAAAGCTTTTAATTGTTCATTAAAATTGTTTATTTAATAAATTTATATATATTTATGTCTCTTGAAGTATACTCATACACATGTATTATTTTTACAAACAATAAAAATTTGTTTAGCCAGTGATTTGACAAGAGTACATATGTTTGTATGTATATACATTTGTTTGTAAACAACCCCGAATCGAAATAGAATACAATTAGTAAAATAATAATAATATTGTTTTATTTTGCAATTAGATGTAATGGTGGGTAAGTAAAAATCTTCAGATAATAGCTCTTTTTCACAAATTTAATTCGAATGCAGTAAATATTTAAACGTCGCATTAGCATCCAATTTGAATTTCAATTGCGTAGCTAAATGCAAATAATTTTTGCTCCATAGTAAATTTGTTTAAATCCAACTCAATACACCGGGAAAAGTTACCGATTAACATACAAACGTTAAGTAAATTGTTTACTCAGTTATCATTTTTTAAATTTAAAAAACTTTTTTGACACAAAAAACACTAGATATTGTATTTATAAATTAATCAAAAAAAAAATTTTCCTACACGATTTACATTTAGCAAATAAAACAAAAAAAAAAATACACATTCAAGGTTACAAAAATTCATAAGAAGCGGAACTTCAGCAAAATTGCTCAAAACATAATTATAAAAGAAATCTCAAAAGTCCTCATCGTCAGGTGTGTGCAAAAAAATTGACACGAGGTCAAAGGTCAAAAAAATTAGTTTTTCACGAGTTTCAAAATTACCTAAAACCAAAATTGTAGATCACATAATTCTCTATAAGAAATGTATCAATAGTTTTTTCCTAAGAGCCACCATTTTGGAGATATAACTCTTTAAAAAGTAGGATAATTTGTAATCTCCATATTTTGCACACGTTTCCACGCCACCTATAAAATGGTGTATTTAGCGCGTTTTTTTAACGTGGTTTCCCCAGTAGTTCTATTCCACGGGTCTATTGTGATTCTATTTGGTTGGTAAAAATGAAGGCGGTGTAATAAAAACAAAAAAGTTAAAATGTTGCTAACATCTCCTATTTCAGCTAAAATAAACTGACAATCATCGCTGCTCTCAATGGATGTAAATATTTCCTCCATTGCCAGATTCGTTGCTTCATCTTTAGCAGGGATAATGGGATGCCCAACTCTTCCCAGTGTGAGAGCGCCTCAAAATTAGCGTTTTTTATAACATTTTCCATTGTAGACAGATCGGACAAAATAATAATTTTTGGGTATTTAAATTATAATACCCAATATTTATTAAAATTACATATTATTATACATGTATCCGTTAAACATATGGAAAAACTATTTGAATCCATTTTTGTGATTTTGTGATATTTTAAAACAACTGACTTTTGAAATTTCAATACTGAAAAGGTAAAAAAATGTATTAATTCTCAATTAGTAAAAGTTTTTTATAATTTTCAATTGAAAATATATACTACTAGGCTTGGCATCACAAAATATTTCATCACATACATTTCAATTTATGCGTATACGTTTTCTTTTTATTTATGTATTTATTTATTATATATATATTTTAATCTGGCCGTCCCTCTTTTTCTATTTGCTAAAGGTCAGACTTACTGAACTTTCACAGTTGCTTGAGTTCAGTAGGTTTTGACGTTTATCAATTGCGCTCCAGAAACCATGGACTTTACCTTCAGTAGTCGGTTGCAAAAAAGAAGTATAACAATCTTGATGATCGATTTAAGCAACAACAGCTTTTGATATACCATCGGAAAGACTCCCAGCTACTTTCAAAATTGAATTTTTGAATTGAAGTGTACTTGACACATTTTACTGCGACGGTGTAAGGATTTTTTTCTGCAGCTTTTAATTCAATTTATTACCACAAAATAAGCACAATACGGTAACACTGGTTATTTGACATTTACAACCCTTTTGTTATTGTCAAAATTAATAAAATTGATCATTTAAATATTGAAATAAAGCTATTTTTGCATCATATAATATAACATAAATGTCTAAAAACGAATTAGTGAAGTATTAGTGGATATAAAAGTGAAAAATATAAGTGTATTATTTTAGAGCTGCAAAATAATCGATGGTATCGCTAGTTATGTTTTCGTCTCACTATCGATAGTTTCTTTTGACTATCGAAGGTTTATGCTTTAACTACACGAACTACCAATTTTCATAATAATGCAAAATCGGCAAATGGCGTCTTAAAGCCAGATTCTTGAACTTTTTGAAGACGGCGGCGACATATCAAACAGCTAATGTACACAATTACGTTGTTGCTGTACTAAAACCGTTAACTTCAGTGAAATTTAAACGTTCAATATATGCTTCTGTTGGTAAAATAACATTAGATTTGTTAGAGCTTTGAATAATTTTACATACCACATATTAGTGGCAGCACTACAGCAGCCCATTGTCGTCGGCAAAATTGGAACTGGTTTCAATTTAGCGACAGCGACAACTGCAAGCCTGCTGCCAGAGAGAAATTGTTATTGTATGAATGAAAGAAATTGAAAAAAGTTAAATATTGATTTAAAGTTATTTTTGCACTATTTAATATAAAATAAATGTGTAGAAATGAATTAGTGAAGTGTTAATGGATATACATATATATTAAATATATAAGTGTAATCGAAGAAATATCAGCGGCAGTTAAATGTATAAATTTTCTTAATCTGGAGAACCTCTATCCGTACATACCAATACCCGAATCCGGGGGACGCTATTCTAAAATTTACACAACCATTTTATATCTCATTGTAGAGATATATAATATCTTCATCAATATATTTCTGTATTTTGATTCTTTATATTTTATTGCAACCCCATTGATAAAAAATATTAAAATATAAATATTTAAAACATGTGGCCACACGACTCTCCAGTTATTAACATCTGATTGTTTGTCAAAATATTCTTTGTAGGGCTACAATTGTTTTTGAAAGAAAATTACGTAAAATTGTGAGTAAATTGTGCTTAAAAATTTTAATATTAAATTAAAAAAATGTATTCTTAAAATTATCTACACCAATGCATGTAATAAAACATTGTCGTTTTCCTTAAATGACATGATATTCTGTTTTAAAAAGACTTATTTCAAACCATACTGTCAATTAAAATATTCCAGTAATTATAGTTAACATTCAATATAAATATATAATTTTTATGCATTTATTGAAGCATTTACAATGTCGGTTCTCAAATCCCAATATTACGACCATCCTGATGGAGAGGATGCATTTGGAAAAATAGTGGCCACAAATAAATATGCTATTGGCACCGGCCTTGCTTGGTCAACTATTGATGTATTAATGTTATCCAAACCACAAGGATACCTACCAACATTAGCGCGATTTGCATACAACACAGGGCCAATGATGGGCATGGCAACTGCGTTCACATTGACAACTTTAGTTTCGACGAATGTACGCGGCAAGGATGACAAGTAACAGACAGCTTAAATTAAACTTATACACTAAATATAAATATAATTTTAATTTCAGATTAAATTATGTTATTGGCGGTTTTGCCGCTGGTGCAGTATACGGTGCATGGAGACGGAATCATGTTGCCGGCCTCGTTGCTGGTCTTTTCTTTGGTAAGTGAACGAATAGGTTTTGAAAATTTTGTAATATAATGCATTTATATTTTGTGTATAAAGGTATAGCAGGTGCTGTAAAAAAACTATCGAAGGAAGAAGGATGGGAATTTTTTCCACCAATCAAGCATCAGCAAGGTTCTTTAAATGGTGTTCTTCATGACTTTACTCTGATGAAAGACCCTGCCAAACGTACCACTGAAAATTAAAAATGAAGATATATGTATGCTAAAGAAATATTATAAACAAAAAACGTTTGCTTTTAAATCTTGTAAAATTACACAATTAAGTGTATTAAGAGAAGCAAATTAGAAACGAATACTTACTAATAGCCTGTTAGTGAATCCTTAAATCTTTATTTTTAAAATGCCATTAGTTTTATTTCGTTTACTCATATGGTCTGTATAATGCGAAAAATAGCTTATTGAACTCATTTCATTCTAAGTTCTGAACTGTTTTATAAATTGTAACTTGTTTTTATCGCACAGCTCGGTCACCACTGTATAATGGTATGCCAAATCCACAAATAAGTGATCTAACAACTAATTATTGTTAAAAACTACGTGTTCATTTTCACTGCTTTCCTTAAATTCTTAATTTAAACTCCCAAGAGTATATCCTCCTTCCCTGGTTTGACTATTCGGACATAAAACTTTCAGGTATTGGCAAAACTTTATATAGAGTCAATTAACGATAATCATTATAATAAGCAAATATTTCCCTAGGTACTCGTCAATATATCGTTAGTAGTAGTATAGTTCTTTATAGCATATGGACATTTTCCTATTAATAGCTATACATATAGCTATATCTATATCGGTTATATTCTGGTATTAATCCGGTCAATTTCTACATTCGTAGTCAAGAAAATGAGTTTTTTGCAATTTTAAGCGAAACGGTGAGTTTTTTCGAAAAATTTTCGTGGTACAAAATTTTAGATCACAAAATTCTCTACAAAAAATAAATCAATAACTTTTTTCCTAAAAGCCACACGTACGCCATATGTTGGTATGCCTAATACATGAAATATAAATCGGTAGTCTTGTGCGTTAGTCCTTTAACTTTAGATCCAATATTTCAATATGGTATTGCCAAAGAATTTTTAAGAGCTGAGCGTATGGGGGATTTCTTATGAATTTATGTAACATTCCTCCTTATTTTAGGCCTAAATTGACCGGATTATATTACCAATAACTATTAGGTGAGCAAATCTATTATACTCAGTACAAGATATAGCGGATGTTGCCCCGGAGGTGGGAAGGTATTTGCCAAGAAAGAAAGGTATTAAAAAGACATAAAAAAATTCTTATCATTTGATATATTGTTAAAATTAAGTTAAAATTCCTCCCTATAAGGATTATGCAAAGCTACTATGCACTCGAGATACATACATAGTTTATGTTCATACAAAAGTATGAGTTTAACCGTAGGCGCTCACTCAGCTCACCCGTTTAAGTAAATTGGAAATGAAAAAAATGAAGTTGGTGTGCATGCGCATGTTTCGAGTATCGAAATATGCACTACATATAGTGTGTTTCTGCCGTGTTATGTGAATCACGAAGTGCAAGGTGTTTTCTGCATGATACAAGTGTTTCAAACCAGGTTTAAGGCCATGGCGTTATTAATTGATATTATTTAAGCATAATAAAAAACAATATTCGTGCTCCAGGAGGCAATGAAGAGCGAAGTATCTTTTAAATGTTTATTAACAAATTTACTAGGTAATTATTAAAATATCTTATGAAATGAATTGTACTTTTATATTTTTTTAGGCGCGGCTGCTGTCACGACCCTTAAATATTTGTATCTATATTTAGTTCGAATTTATTGGTTTTACTTCATACATACGAGTATATACATACATATTGTGTATCCGACTAACAAGTTCTGTCCTTAAATCTTTTGTTTTTCATCATAATTAGAATATCTTTCGGAATAATAAAACTTCTCAAAACGATTTTAAAAATAGTTTGAAGTGTCACTGTATTCTGTAAAACAATAGACCTACCATCAATAATTTTATTTTCTCAGCATAAAAATTAAAAAAAACTATATCACTCAAATGAGGTTTAAGCATTTCCTAGCCAAAAACAAGAATTTGGTTCTATATATATTTATATATGTATGTATGTATGTATGTATATTTATATCATCGATCAAAAACGTTTATTAATATATGGATATGTGATTATTTTCTAAACGTTCGGCACACACGGGTCATAACGCACCCGTTGTGGCATTCATTACTCAATCAAGTGCTCGTCCACTTATAAATCACAATTGTTTTTGCAGTCTGAGACACCGTCTTTTGAATGTCAAGGCGGAATATTCGTAAGATTTCAATAAAAATAATAACAATAATAATAATGCACATTATATATACAAAGCAGAGAAATGTAGATTGAAAAAAATAAATTGGAGGAAACTAAAACCGAAAAAGTAACACGAGAACAAATAAGGAATTATAAATGTTCATATGTATGTACGAATGTGCGCTTTACATATATTCCACATTATCAGACACTAAACGCCAAGCTTTGTTATTGCTGGTCCTGGAAGTGCTGCAAAGATTATTACGGATGAAAACAAGCCCACATATACTTTCAATAGAAACTAAATATCGCAGTTTAGTACATTAGTACTATACATATATATACATACCAAGCGCATGCATACACATATGTACATATGTATATATGAAATGTGGCGTGTATAAAGGTCCATTCAAGACCAGATGTGATAATGACGCAACAGGCAAGCACTGAGTAACAGTCAAGTTCCAAATGCAGTTGGTAGATCCATGCAATTACAACTGAAAGGTAAATAAAAACATGAAGATGAAAATGGAAATAAAGACAATAACGAATATTCAGAAGAGGGGCAAAGTATTCATTTTTTTAGTATTACTAATGTGTTTCAGTATTACTCTTTATTTTGATATGGATTGCCTTCGTCGAACAGGAAACATAACGGTGCCAATGACAGACATCGCCTCAGTGCACGGCAGAAAGTGAGTTCCAAGAATTATGTTGAGTAAAGGACTATAGCCAGAAATAATTAAAATGTTGACAAATTCTCTTAAGAACATAAACTTTTAAATTAAGAACAAAAATGTAAAAAAGCGACTTGCAGGCTATGGAATATTTATCCGAAACTTACGTTTCCATAAATAGTTTATATAGGGAATCGTTTCTTTACTTGTGGTATTGTTACTTTTGACGAAGGAGTATTATTCTACCTAAGATCGACTCTTTCTCGACTATCCCAACCTCCTTTTGGACAATTGGTTGTTGGACAAATTCCTGACATAGAGTTTCGTTAGTGACTAAGTTCAAGTGCACGTTTTGTACAACTTTTTGAACGGCAAAATGTTATTGGTTTTCTTTTAAATTAATTATGCTATTAAAGCTGCCATAAACGGTAACTAAATAGGTACTTGAAATTCATTTAAATAATTTTTGAGAAAATTACGAATTTCTTAGTGGCATTTCAATGCAAATCAGATAAAAGCTAAGCCAATTAGTCTACAAAATTCATAAATTATGAGGAAAAGCCATCCCAATAAGTTGGAGAATTTAAATGGAGGCGTCTAAAGTGCAGCAAATGCAAACGCATAGTTACTTTATACATATATCTGGTAGGCTAAGAAGTTCGAACTGTTTCTATGGATTCAATCTATAGTTATGGAGCTAGACCTAACCCTAAAAGCAACATGTATATTTTTTTACAGCTGTCGCATTTTATGTGAAAAAAGATTTAACCTATACCTAGCTCGACTACTTCAGAGATTTACAAACAAGTGTTAATCAAATTTTATTTGAATTGAATGCCTTTGACGCCTTAAGTAGGCCCGTCGCGTCACTATTTGCTATCAATTATATTGTTCATTTAAAACCATCATATCAGCTTTCATAAAAGCTCTGAAATATCAAATCGAATGAAAGTCTCAAAATCCACTTCAAACTGAATTATTTTCAATATGCATCCATTGAATTGATTAATTTTGAATAGCACAGTGTACAAAGACATTAAATTCAATTGCTGAAAAGATTTGATACATATGTACGGTGTAGGATAGCGCAAGGTATGAAATGGTTGCATGGCAACCAAAGAGAAAAAGGGGCTATCCCGTGCGTATGGTTGCGTTCCCTTTTTACGCAGCACCAGTGCAGTAGCAAAAGTAGAGATGAGTAAAGCAGCGAGATAGTGGTCACTGTACAACAACAATGTTCTGCCCCGAAATAATGCCAGTCCTCAATATGCCTACTGGAACAATTTGACTCTTTTTCCGAGTTACCCTAAGATACGAGACGCGTATCATATGAAGTACATAGTATTTTATATGTATACATGAACTCGTAAATACGTTCACTTGTATTGCTAGTAAAGAGCAAGCTCAACAAGCCAACGCTATCAATATTTTCCAACATTGCCTGTCGCGCATACCAGCACTTGCTGACTGAGTATGTGTACAGCAGAGGTCAAATGAACGAGCGATCGTTCACCCAACTCGAGCGCCGCTTGTAAAATGCACAACAATTACGCATTCACACAAATGAGCTGCAACTGCAACTAAGACTGCAGGGTACTGCACCAACAAAAGCTGACGCTACGTCTGGCGTCTGCATTGGTGAACCAACAATCTCCCCACTTGGCTGCCATGCGACACGCGGCAGAACATCAGGGCAGCTTAGTGGCGACACACTTCAACCATTGGCACTGTCGCACAACCTTCTTCCCATGGCATCACGCCGAAGCTGAAGAGGGAAAATCTGTTTTGTATTTGCATGTTTTTACACAGCATATTCATTGCACTCTATGCCAGATTGCCTCATTGAATTGGATTATTTTGATTTTATGTTGCCACTGTATTCGCTCCTTCTTTCACCAATAGCTTTAATCGTTTTTGCGTATGTTACAGGGTGCTGGATGGGTGAACGCCATTGTAAAAGCCAAGAAAAAAAACTATATAAATAAAAAAACAGTCGAATCATTATTTAAATTTAAGTCTATTATTTTTTGTTCGTCTTATTTTAAAATATGTCGCATTAATTGGATGCCCTCACCAGACATTTAAAAATCTCTTTTATCACGTAGTCTTAAGTCCTCGTTTTAGTCAGAAAGTGATTTTTATACTCTTGCAACATGTTGCTACAGAGTATAATAGTTTTGTTCACCTAACCGTTGTTTGTATCACCAAAAACTAATCGAGTTAGATATAGGGTTATGTATATATAAATGATCAGGATGAAGAGACGAGTTGAAATCCAGGTGACTGTCTGTCCTTTAGCAAAAATTGAGATCTCTTGATGAAACTTGGTACACATGTTGGACCATTGCCACGACCACAAAACACCCATATTTGGA